GGGTCTGGACTCCCGTAGTGGGGATCCTAGATCCCCTAGTGGGGTGTCTAGACCCACCACTTTCAAACACAGCCGAGTCGCTGGCGCGAAGTTTGATTCGCTGGTGCAACGTTCGATTCGCTTGTGCAACGTTCGTATCCAGCGATTCGCTAGGGAATCGCCGGATGGTCACAAAGTCTAACATCGGCCTTAGCGTCACACGCGAGATACGTCTGTAGTCCAAAGATCGCGCGAGACGATGATGCGATGAGGCTCTGGCGCGACAAGGGTTGAAGGATATGATACGTGTGGATAGGAAAGATTCAAGTCTAGGGGTTAACCAACAATCCTTGTTCTTGCTTTTTAAGATTTGTTCATCAACAGATAGCCGCCAAAGTTTTAAATTTTGGTTTTTCTTCAATTTAGATTGAATCTTGAACAACGACCACGCCACAATTTACTGATCGGTTCCTGGCGTCGTGGCGCGTGCGTCCCCTCGTCGAATGTGCTTCAAATCACATCATTGCACCATCGCCTTATAGCCCAAGTCGCGTTTTCTCGAACTATGAACGGGACCTAAGGGAAAGAGCTTTGACAGCACTTTCATCCGAAGCAGTTTTTCGGAAAGGACTGGGTGAAAATGCCTGGAATGGGGCAGTGGAGCGTAGCGAAGAGCCGAATATTTTTGCCTAGGTCCACGGAGAGAAGGTGAGGTCCGTTAGAAGGTCCACAGCAGGTGGGGAGACAAAAAATGAACTAGAAAATGAATAGGATGGCTATAATACACGGCCTTTCAACGGCTCTTATCGATACCAATAGGTTATATTATTATTATTCATTAATATTTATTATTATTTTATTTATATATAATTTATATAATTACTATTTACATCAACAAATTTCGATAAGTTACCTCAAAATAGCCTAGAATCAAAGTTTTTATGCTCATCGCTAGAGAGTCTTCAGCTCCTCATGATCCTTATTGTCAGAGCCGCTGAGCAGAGTTTAACTGCCCCCTCTAACTCCTTTTTCACCAAACAAACTTTACCTATGTGTAAACGACTAGAAAGCGTACGAGCAGCAAGATGATCCTGAAATCAGCCTGATTATAACATTGGCATTTGAAACGCGAAGGAGATCACGAAAATGACCTGTCGTAGCAATAGTGATTGGATATCGATAACGGGCACTGGACCATTGCTTCGTTTTTTCACCTTCATCGAGTAGTGCTAACTGTACTCCTTGTCGTCATTGTTTACTATGTGTTCTTCTTGAATCGCTATTATTTTGTTTGCTGATCATTTTGTGTCACGTTGGCCGCTGCAGCTGTATGTGCTGCCGTCAGCCCAGTTAGCTCAGACGTAGAGCACCAGAATCTTAATCTGGCTGTTGCGGGTTAGAGCCCCGCATCGGGCTCAGCTTCTGCATTACTGTACTGTGCAGTTAAGGCGTGCTGAATCGAAAAAATGTTAATGTAAACATGAGAAGCAACCCAACAAACGTGACTGCTTATTGTGCCATCAGCCCGATCAGCCTCAGCCTCAAAACACCCATCCCTTTTCATGTGGCGTTGTCAGCGTTCTTCAACGTAGTCAAGGTCCATATTCAGGGTATCCCGCTGGCTGTTGCTGTACCTATTCCCAGGTGGAGGAATGGCAAGTGGGGCCTTGCAATACCACCTCCATTCCCTTCGTACAGATGTGGCCTCAAGCGTTACTTGTCATTAGGTGGTGTGGCGAGAAGGGACTAACACAAACCTGTTAAAGGAAGAAACTCAGAGGAAGTAAAATATGCCCACACACCTCGAAGCCCTTTCCGTTACTGAGGCCTGCTAGGGGCCGCGAGCAGGAGTACCCGGCCAGGATTGGATCCTCAATACTCTGCGTCTACACTCTGGTCGATGACGCATACCCCATAGTGAGGAATAAGTGCAGCGTTTCAAGGACCCATCTCCCTACCGGCTACGCTGCACAAGGCCTAAGGAATGTTCGAAATAGGGCGATCCGGACACTTGAACGAATGTGCAGCACTATCGCAAGATGCTGGTTATTATTGTGGCAATGCATTTATAACACTGTAAAACGTTTCCTTTTCCTTGGAAATGGAATAGCTCTAGGCAGTGGAGCAGAGAGTGTAAGAATCGTTACAATTTTTCATGTTCCTGCAAATTCATGTGCTCTCCTTGGCTTAGTGGTGCCCCCTTATCTTGCAATAGTGCTTGAATGTATAATACATTACTATACGTCCCTCGAAACGCTGAGAACAACGTTTCTGGATCTAACCTCGCTGATCAATTCTAGCGCAACTCGTAACCCGCAAGTGATCTAAAGGAATGGCGAGTGGAGCCCTGCGATACCATGGCATACCAAGAGGCATTATGGCTCGTCATATCGCCTTTCCTTCACGTAATATTGTACCGAACCAATCTGTCCTAGCCTCTTTACTGCAGCAACCTGGACTACAGATGGCGTTAGTGTTGAGAGCTCCCGTCAGTACCTGACATTACTGTTTACGCTGATCATCATGAACTGCACATGACCAACGGTGTTGCTTCTGTAAGGCCCCGAACATAGCTCATCATTTGCGTGATTTAGGGTTCCGCTGAAAGGAGAGCATGCGTATTAAAGGCAGCGATACGATAAATAGGGAGCGTATTGGTGAAGCATACTCACGACACGAAGCACCTCCTTGGGTGACGAGGAAGCTAGATGTGGCGCTTTAACGGCGAAAGGTGCGCTGGTTGCTGATCAGGACTTCGAAAGCACTCCGCCCTCAAAAGCGACCAGCCCACTGGTCTAGTTGGTGATTTAGACGAGTGGCGCTGCCAGCAGCGGCTCAACGGAAGCAACTCGATAGGTGCATGGTTTGACAGGAGGCTGAAGTCACCACATACTTGGATGTGCTCACAGCATTGCTTTGTGGGCATGGGAGCAGTGTGGACCACAGCCACTGCTGCCCATAGAGGAGAAGATGGTAAATCACTAACAACAGCAACAACAGGCGATTGCTACGCTTTTCAGCAGGCAAGAATGAGCCCACGTCAGTCACACACTGCAGGTTCAAAAACATTTATCAGGATTGTAAGGCTGTAATCACAGGTTGAACAGTGGCATAGTGATCCAAGGGATGCCCTCTCTGCCCGACAACAGCGCCTGGTGTTCCATTGGAACCTGCGTATGCCGACAATATTTGTAGGATACCGAGACATTGGAAATGGACCATCAATTTGGAGGAACGCATGCTCTTCTCAGATCAGAGCAAATTGAGTATGGGTTGTGATTCTGGTCCTATCAAATTATGGCGAGAATAAGTTCATGTAATACATCCAGGACCATCGTTAAACATGATTGTTCTGATAGTCCACTCGACGTCATGGCTTATTCGGAAAATGCTGTGAACAACACCGATTCCTGGACACATCTCCCTCTCTCAATTACCCAGTGATTCTTTCTTGCGTGAAGTCATGCTAGTGCTGCCTCCGAGACTTGCTGTAATCAAGAACACCACTATATTCCACAAAGCCTCCCCGTGGTCAGTACACTCTTTCTTCTGCTGTTCCGCCAACCCTCTCGTACCACGTGGCCGGTCCCTTTTGGCTCCAGGTTCAAGCGTACCGCACGGTGCATAAGGTCCAGCCCATGATGCATTACTGGAAGACCTTCAGCATCATGCTCGCCAAGTTTCATCAAATTCCACTGAATTTGGAAAAATATTTCACCTAATCTATTTCCCCCTCCTTAAGTTCCCTCCCTAAGTTTTGCACACCAGTGTATTATATGTAGTTTTGTTGGTAATATATCTTGACATCCTCCTGCAGTAGAACTCCATTTCGTCCCGGGTATATACTTCCTGATGCATTTTCTTCGAATACTTCGGCTGGAGAAGTTGGGATAGCAGGCGTGCCAACAGAATTGTCGGGTGTGCGTGTGTGTCGGTGGACGGGAACTTGATGAAGGTAGCACGATGGGATCGGTGCAGAAAAATGTGGCCCAGCTGGGTCTTGATCAATGTAGTAGGATGGTACCGGTGCAGAGGGACAAGGGGGTGTTGCAGCTTGATTCACGTGGTAAGGTGGTGCAGGGCAGTAAGAGTGGAGAGGGACTCGGTCAACTTAATAAGTTGAAACTGGTGCAGAAAAGTGAGGGTGAGCTGGGATGTCGTCATTGTGTAGGACGGTACTGGTGCAGAGGAACAAGAGGGAGTAGGGGCTCCATCTTAATGGTTGGGGGTACTGGTGCAGAACGTCAACGGTGAGCTGAATTTTCGAGGCTACGCCATAGACTGGCGATCAGATCAGCGTCGTTGCTTCAAAAGCTCCCTGCGTGTAAACGACACGTGTTTTGTCTCTGAGTTTGCATTGTTTCCATATTTCTGATAGTGCTTCTCGTCGCCTGCTCGCCTGCTCTTCCCTATTCACCCAATCGATACGTATACTTTGCTATTAATCATTGCCTAATCGCGCCTGCTCGTCCAATCGCATGTGCGATCGCCAACTTCAGACGCGCCTTAGGCGATCATGCTCAAATAGTTAGCTGCGCATGAGTAATTATACATTTTTTTTTCCAGCGTAATGCCAAAACAGCGGCATGGGGAGCGTACAAGAATATCGAGGAGTAGTGAGGAAGACGAAGAGCATCCGGCTCCGTGCTCACCTCTTCGCTTCCGCAGTCCTTCCTGCTCTAACCTACGCCTCAGAGACTTAGACTCTGCGTAGGCAGGACGAGCGTGCGGTCAACGTTATCCAACGCGCTGTGGAGAAGACGATTCTTGGAGTCACCCTATACACGCAAGTGCAGAGGGAAATCCTGAGTTCCGAACTACGCCAACGGTCGAAGATCAAGGACGCTGCCGTTTTCGCGAAAGGATCGAATTTCAGGTGGGCCGGACACGTCAAACGATTTTGTGATGACCGTTGGACCAGAGCGATTACCGACTGGATCTCACGGAACGTCAAACGAACAACTGGAAAATCGTCGCCCTGATGGTCAGACTTCTTCACGAAAGCTCTGAACGAAAGGAACGAAACGCTACGTGTCTCTCGAGCGAGGAGGGTCCACTGGACAACTCTGGCACGCGACAGGGACGAATGGAGACGTTGCTGGCACCCGCTCGAGCAATTCGATTATCAACTTGACGACAGGTGATACAGGTGATGCCAAATCGCAGAATCGCACAGTGGCATAATCGCTGAAATCATGGGATACGAGCGCTACACGAACAAATGGGACTGAAGGCCCAATTGATCGCCCCCATTAGGTCACTTGTATCAATCGAAGTCCATCAAGACGGCAAGGCAGCAAGGAGTGGTAGGTGGGCGGGCAGGGAGGCAAGGGGGTTTAATGGAAGGCGGACTGGTTAGTACATCTCGCCTCAACTCATTTTTGCTTGACATTTTTGTGTGGGGCTTGAATAGTTTCCTTATTACTCTAGTCTATGTATACCGAGCCCTCAAAAAATCTGTGGATTCTTATGCTAGAGCGTCTGAGACCTCGGCAACCATTGCAGTATATCTGTAGTACAGATACTTCTCAGCATTGAGCCAGGCGGCCTTCTTAGATAATAGTGCGATGCAATGTTGTTTGGATGGGTATTCCGAATTGTGGAATGCGGTAGGCGCGAAATGCATGTACGTGCCGACTGGTGCACCCCTCCAGAATACAGAATGTGCGAGTTATTAATATAGCATCTCGTTACGCCACAGAGGCTTGGCGTAACGAGACGCTATATTAATAACTCGCACATTTCAACTTTCCACACATGTCAAGTGAATCGCCTCATCTCGTGCCTAGGGTCAGACCTCCTTTGCGCAGTTCCCGGCGGGGGTGGATTGTATATGAGTCTTTTAGAGGGGAGTGTATTTGGGTCTGCTACAGTTCGAATGGTCGAAAAGGGGTCGTATTTATGGAAGTTGAAGGAGTCGTGATTGCGCTAGAAGGGGGTTGTGAATGACGGGGTTATCTCCAAAAAAAATTAGCAAAATTTTACAATATACATGTGAATGGCTAAATAGGTGGATTGGCCCTCGCTCGAGCATATTTATCCCCCGTTCCCCACCCGCTTGAGGATCCATTGTGGAGAGAAAAAGTTAACAAGGGTGTAGAAGAGAGTGTCGTTTGATTGATGGTGGTGGTGGTGTGCCGTATGGAAACCCCTCTAAGAAAGAGGTCATCGAAATTCTGGCATTGGAATAATGGACAGTTGATCCTCCCCGCTTCCCCTCCCCCCTCTGCTGAATTGGCCACCCTCTCCCTTCACTCACGAATTCCTCGCTTCGCACTAACAAGGAGGGTCTTTCAGAGCAAGCTGCGCTTTTTCGAAACGCTGGAGGGGCTCTCGCGTAGATTACAACACTCTGTTTCATTTTCGCTGAACGGCTCACTGAAGGCCAAAAAAGGGTTGAAAAAATTCGTTGACGG